AACAACACTCATCCTGTCACAAGCTCCTCTGCGACTGTGCTTTGTTCTGCTGTTCCCTGAGCTTGATCTGTGCCTCATTCTGTCAAACTGATTTCTCTCTTCTGCAGACACCACCACTACATTTACTTCAATGCGTCTAATCAATGTTGTTATGCAAAGTAATTTGTTCAAGTGGAATGAATCTCAAAGCTATAATAGACAAAAGGGCAGGGAGTGAAGGCAAAAACAAATGTTCTTGGATGTCTCATCTGAAACTAAAGCACACAATTATGTTACCTTTTTGTAGTTTTATATAAAAGTGCTTCAAAAAGTGCTTTTGAATTTATACATACAGCAAAGTAAAAAAAAAATATTTTGGAAGCTGATTGGACAATTTGACAGGGTCTTACGGGTGTGGATGCTCACCCTTGGCAAAAATCACATTGCCAAAAATGGGAAAGATATCATTTCATTGTGAAATGCTTTATATTTGACCTTTTTGTTATTGATAATCTGCAATCCTATCCATGTTTTTCAAAGCAGGAGGCAAACAACAAAAGTCAACTTGATGTATTTTTTATTATGACCCTCATCAGCGTTGTGTAAACATTTGGTTCTCGGCTGTTCCGACCAAAAAGATTGTTTTTTACAATTACTGTTCAACAGAAGCAGAGAGACGACTTAAAGAGGACTATCACTGCATCGAGCTGAACTCTACTGACTCCTTCCTAAGGAACACGCATAATGAGATCAAGTTTAACAACTTGTCATTAAATTCACATCTGCAATTCAGACTGTAGGATGAAGATAACAGCGTTTGTTATGAAGTTTTATAATTGATATGCTTCTGCTTTTATAAACATTGTTTGCACATAAGCTGCACTTGAGCTATTTAATTGTGATGGCGAGAATGTCTTTAAAAAAAAGTTGGGTTGTGTTTCTGTCTGATTTCTTGTATCTTAGAGTTTGGCCCCATTCACCTGTATGCTGAAGCTGATTAGTATTTAACACAGCTCTATGTGAGACGTCTATGCTGTGTTTGCTGTAGTTAAAATGCATTAAAAAAACAAAAAACAAAAAAAAAAACAAAAAAAAAAATCTGGAAAGCAAATGCATGTAGCAAGAAGCAGCAGGTTGAAAAAAAGGCTAGATGGAGAAGCCAGAGAAAGAAAGTGGAAATTAATTTTAGAAAAGAGTACATGTGTGCACCTCTTTAATTCCAAAATTCATACATTGGAACCTGAAAAAAACAAGATCTTGAGAAAATGAAACCTTAATAAATCAGTACTGAGCTTTTTTAATAGTTATGCTGATGTGAAAAATATTACAGCTACGAAAGTAGCATAAAACATTTCTCTCTGTGAGAGAAGCAAATGAAGGGAGAGAACATTTAACTGTAAATACTGGTTTAGTTGAAGCTCCGTTTTAGTCATGACCTATGTATTCATCTTTTGCGCTTGTTTTTTTTTTATTATGGCCAATAAATATTGCATTCTCTTCTCTGGCTGTCATGTTCTTAAGAATTCTTTATCAAATTTTGCTCTTGATATTTTACAGTCTCAAAGGTCTGGCACCTTCTTATCTTTTAGAGCTCCAACAAAAACTACAATTTCAAAAATATTCGCCTACCTCGACTCACATGAACTTAAGAGACATCCTGCTGTTTATGCATTGGGCTCAATATGACCTTGCTGCACCCTTTGAAGCTATAACTGCCTGAACTCTTGTAGGGAGGCTGTATGCAAGATTTAGTAGCTTTTTGGGGGGCGGTTTTTGACCTTTCTTCCATTTTTGACCAGTCTCCACTCCTATTTATCCCCAAGGTGTTTTATTGGGCTATTCTCTGAAGCCTCTGACACCAAACCCTCTCTTCCTCTCCTTTATAGTCCTTATTTTGTGAATAGTCATGATGGAAGAGGACGGAGGCATCTCAAAACTGTAATGATCCAGAATCACTTATACTGGAACTTAGGGGCCAAGCATGGCTCCTGAGAAACAATCGCAAAGCATACCCCCCCTAAACACAACAAAGATTACACTTAGCACAGTACAAGCTAGCCTCATTCTGGTAGCTGCCGAACTCGGAATCGTCCATCAGATTTTCGAATGGAGAAGTGTGTTCCTTCACTCAGGAGGATGTGCACCCCCTGCTCCAGAATCCAATGCAGCTGGCTTTCTACCACCGCATCCAGACATCCCAACTTCCAAAAACTCATTTCAGGGAGATGCTTACCCTCCCCAAACCTCGAAGTAGTTCTAATCTGCACATGATGCATGAATTATTGCCCGCATTAAAAAACACCACCTGGCAGAGTCTAAAATCCAGGATAATTTATCAGACTCGCGGGCATCCGTGAATAACTATCTATTTTCAGGGAGACTCCCGGAACTTCTGGGAGACTTGAGATTACTGCGCATCCAAGGTTTGCACTGAACCTGGTGATGTATGGCTTGTATGCAGAGGCTCAGCAATGCAGACCAATTTCTGGAAGCCTCTGCACTCATCAGATGAACAGACCACTGAAGGTTGGCAATCTGTAGCTATTGAACGTATATGTATCACACCACTTTGTGCTGATCTGCTTGCTGTTGCCAGTCACTTCCAGTGTGTTATAACACTACTGAGAGTTGATGGTGGACTATTTAGGACCGTACCATGCTGCAGTTCCCTGAACTCCTGCAGATGTTTTCTGCGGAGGTTTGTAGTGACATTCTTCATGCCCGGGTGTTTAATTTTATGCATCTGCCCAATGGAAGTGATTTAAATAATTTGGACTTTCTGTGATGTCTGCTTGGACACTTAATCTAAACATTTCTCAAGTGCATTTCTTTTTACAATAGATTTGAACGCCGAAGTGCACGATTAGTAAGGCCAGTCCTTCCACTGTCCTTTGCCCTTATTGTTTTTCTATTTTTCTTTTAAATTGTCTTTTAATGTTTTCTGTTATTAAATTTTATAATGGATCTTTTATTCTGCCAGTCTTGTTTGCCTTGGTGCATGTGTGAAGGGATAGACAGTGGCCTTCGACATTTTAACAGTCATATGACTTTGTAGCATTTTTATTTTAAAGGGCAAAACATGGAGGAAAGTTAAACAGATGCCCAAATGACCTATTCGTGTAAAATGAGCTGTTCTGGAGCTATTAGGGAAATTAGCGTCCTCATCCACATCAAAGTAACACTGCTAGTCAGAGCAGAAGCAGAAATGACAATTTCTCTAAATGCTGCCAGACTTTCAAATTAGCTTTGCCACAAGCAATCACTTCATACTGTGGCTACTTAACATGAGTGAAGAATAACCACAGGGTTCTATTCTATATCCTTTTTTTTTTAAGTATCTTATTGCATAAATAAATCTACATCTGATCAGAGGACTTTGTTATTACTATTTTCATCTTGATAAAGTCGAGTTTTATTTTCCAAACATACTATCACCCCGTGCGCATGGCTGCTTCGTGATCACCTGTGTTTTGAAAAATGTTTGTTTTGTGCTATGTTTCTTGTTTTTAGTTAGGAAATTTAATGTTTAAAATGCAAATACTGTAAATATAATCATAGCCTTTGTCGAGATTGAATTTTTAAAAACCTCTGTCCGTTTTGTGGTGGGAGGCTTTCTGCATTAGACAGGCAAGTTTGGGGAATACTGTTTTCCCGAAAAAGTGTCAAATATTAAGTCTTAAAAGTTTCGTCCCCCTTTTTCAGTATATAAAAAAAAAAAAAAAAAAAACATAAAAAAAACAAGCAGACTTCAACTGTGCCAAATTAGTTTTGAAGCTCCAGGCCTGCAGTTTCAATCTAAATTTTCACAAAGAGTTTTTAGGTTCATTAGCTTACGGCTGATGAGACTTTTCCTTCATTAGCTTCAAGCTAAATCTTAATAAGTCTTAGCCTGGAAATGACCCACTTTATCATGACTGACCATTAGAAAATAGAGAATTTAGTGAAGTATTTTTTTTATAAGTATACTGATCAAGTATTAAGTATATTTTGTCCTTTTTTTAAAAGGACAGTTTGGGAAAAAACAAAAACATCACAGATTATTTTCTTTTCTCTGGTGTTTAATTTGGATTTTCTATACTGGATAAAAAAAAAATGCATATTACAAAACGGCTTTGGATTGAGTCTCCTGATTGATCATTTTCATGTTTTTTAACCAAGCAGTTTAAGCAGTTTAAGTAACCATAGGCTTTACAAACTGAACCAGGTCTATGATAACAAGTGCTAACCTTATTTACATAATAGGTGCTCCACTGTTTTTACTCAGATTAGTTTGAATCCAATAAAAGTACCTTCAGTCAGGTTTAGAGTCGCTTTGGTTTCCACAGTGTCCTGAGGAAACTATATCTTAAGAGTATAGAAGCCTTTTTGTCTTTGTTGGTCCAAAAAATAGAAATGGTGTCACTAAAGCAACTAAAATAAGCAGTCCATGGTAACAGTTCTACATTTTCCTTCGATACAATGGTTATCGGTGGTAATCATTAATATTGTACAAAATGTGTACCTAAATTGTGGATCAAATTTGTCACATTGTAAAAGCAGATTGGTATTTATCAGATATTTACATGAAGGAAAATTAAGATACAACAAAAAAAACAAAACATTAATACATATTTTGTGATATTTCCACCACAAGCCCCATACATTGATCTTGAAATCATTTCACTTAATGCCACTAGAGGGCACAGTTTCACATTTTTCTTTCTTTTTAAATGAAGACTGACATCTTCAACATTTAAAAAGCAACAATTGGACAGTTGTCAAAAGCTGCCGCCAAGACACAAAACCAACATTTCATTTTCAGATATTCAGTTAGAGTGCATATTATCACCTTGAAATCAAACACTGTTGCCTGCTTGTACCAGAATATCCACAACTTTACAGTAAAGCAACAGAAACACAACACCAAACTGTTTGCTATGACTTTGCCCTGCTGTGGAGCCACTTTTGGTAGCAAAGTGTCTTGGAGGGTCTTCAGCGGACCAAGTCCTGAGGGGCTTTCAGATGCTCCCTGTCTGCATCATAAAACACCAGCAGCTCATCACATTATTATAACTCCTGTTAAATAAAGTATTCCTTTGGATTTTCCGTGGATAGGTTCTGGGAGTCATTCGGGTTGTTCAGTGGGAAATCTGGACAGTCCTCCTGTTTGACCCTGTTCTCCTCCTGGGTTCGATACGTGTCCTTCCTCTGGTACAGGTGTCGGGCAGCGATGGCCAATCCGGTAAGAATAACAAAAATGACGACAGCTATGACACCTGGAAAATGACAAAGAAGAGGATTCCTGAGATCTGAAAAGGTTGTATCTGGAATGATAATAGCACTAAAAAGATCAGCTATTTCTACATAAGTGTTTAGGTCAGTTTATCTGACAATGGCTTAGATTTAATGAAAACCCAAGAATCACTTTTACAGAAAAGGTAATTATTACATCTCACTAAAAAATGTTTTTAAACAATTACAATATTGTAGACACCTGTGACGCATATTAGTGAAAACACTTAAATCCAACATGTCCTTTTGGTGATATAAAGCCAGTTGAAAAATGGCATATGCCGTTTTCCAGGGGCGTTGCTAGGCACAAAGCTTTACTGGGGCACTGGCCCCCATACCGCATATGCCCCTCCTTCCATACACAAATACAGACAAGCACACTGCCCCACCCTGATAAATTCCTACCAAAATTACCAGTTGAGATATTAATGAGTGTAAGAGCATATTTGTTTTAACAAACATGAAAATTTTCAACATTGTAGCTATAAAAAATAAGACATTACCAACTTTAAAAATAAAAAGTTTCCTTATACACATTCTGAAGTAACCATTAATTCCTAGGTTTCAGAGTTTTAGTTCAGGGGAAAGTTTAACTCATCCTGAACTAAGTTTTTCTTTTATTTTTTGAGCATTAAAGTGTACCTCCTATTTTTCATTTTTGCAAAGCGGTCAATCACTAGACTGTGACTCAGCTTAGAAAGTTCTTCCTTTTCAACTGATAAAATAGCAAGATGATGGAGCCTGTCTTGTCCCATTGTGCACCTCAGCCAAGTGTGGAGCCTTCTCAACACCCTGAATGACCTTTCACAGCTACAGCTGTTGATTGTGAGGGAGATCTGGATGACCTGCGTTAGTGTGGGGAACATGATGTTATCAAGCAAGTTGAAAACACACTGCATATCCTTGATGACAAGGCTTTCTTTTTCAACCATAAAAAGCTTTCAAACCATTTTGAATTAAATGAACGTTTTTTTTACTCCAAATTTGTGCTGGGGTTAGTGGGACAACTTCACTTGTTTAGGACCATCATGCTTTCCCCCTAAGTCACTAATGTCCCCTTCTTGTTTGTGGACGCTGGTTGTTGCTCCCTCATCACCTTCATGGTCCTGTCTCCTGTCCTTCACCTGTCTCTTGCCTGTCAGTCTCGCCTCCTCCTCCCTTTCCTACTCCAGCACCTTCATTCTCATTCTCTACAGCAAACATTAAAAAAACGTAAATTTATAATTATGTAAATATCTATTATATTGCTTATAACGTTCCTAATGTAACTGGTTAGCTTAAATCACTAATTCATCACGGGACCTTACCTCCCTCTCTCATCTTGTTTTACTGCTTCCCTGTCTCTGCTTCGTGTGAGCAATTTCCTGATATCCATCCAATGCAGTAATTTTCAGTTATTAGCCTATAAATAAATCATGTGGTTTCACTGGGAAAATAATAAAATTGACAGGAAAGAAACGTTACCAGAACTAAAAATGCGTCGCGGCCGCACAGTGTCCCATCCAACTCAGCTGAGAGCAGCGTTTGTGTACCTGCAGTTCATGCAGTGACATGCGCTGACGTGGGGGGCGCTATTACATCCTCAATTTGGATGTACGCATTTGAGTAGAAATATACGTCTCCTCCCATTATTTAAATTGATGCATTAAAAAAATGTATCACTGTTGCAAATATTCATGAGATTTATACTGGGGCACAGCTCATTTATACTGGGGCACGTGCCCCAGTAAATGGGGTCTGGCGACGCCGATTCCGTTTTCCAACTGGCATATAAGATTTTACAAAATGCCAGATACTACGTTCAGCTCTCGCTTTCACTCGTATTTTCAGTCTTTTCTAGGGGTGCTGTTAAAGATATGCTCTCTGTGTCTGCACCTTGAAGCTTTCTCTCTCTGGTTCTTTTTCCTCATAAGAGATCACTCAGGACAAACTTCATAACTTATATGTAATAAATAACCATGAGAAATGACACTGATCCAAGGGCGTAGGAATATGTTTACAATTGGGGGGGACACATGTCGGAAATCTGAAATTCGTAAATATTCAACAGAAACATATCTTAAGTACGCTACTTAAAAAAAAGGCTATTTAATCTTTTTCTTTATTCCTTTATAAATGTGTTTGCAAAAATAATGCATTTAAAATTAACATAATGCATTTGTTCATAAGATGTGAGCATATCACCAAACAAAATGACTGGAGTCTTTTATTAAGCAAAGGGAGATGTCTTGCAAGGGCTTCGGCCCTTGGCATATTTAGTGTCCGCATACGCACTAGAAAATCAAAACAATTCAGTAGGCCACACAAGTGCAAAGTTTGATATGTTTTATTTTGTCAAACTTGCAATAATGGTCAAAAATGAATTTATATAGGTTGACTGACAGAGGGAGCTGACAGTGTGTTGAAGAATTAGGGACAGGGTGCTTTGAAGCATCTGGTTCAAAAACGCATTCTAAACCTTTGGTAGAAATCCATCCATCCTTCCATTTTCTGTACACCCTGTCCCTTAGTGGGGTCGGGAGGTGCTGGTGCGGGGTCCACCCTAGACAGGTGGCCAGTCTGTCCAGACCTTTGGTAGAAATGGCGCCTTTAATTCCAATTTGCAGTACAGAACAGAGAAAACTACAGAGTTGTCAATGTTGTGTTAATCTGTTTATAGTGTAAAAAGAGGAGCCAGCAGTTTATTTGAGGAAATAAAGATGCAGAAGTTAATTAGTTGGTTAATTAGTGGTTGTGCAGCAGTCCGCTGCACGACCAATGCGGCCGTCGCTGCTAAGAATTAGAATTAATTCTCCCTGTGGTTAACTAACGATCAGGAGCGCAACAGGTATAACATCTGTCCATTTCCGCGAATCAAAACCATGCAAAAAATAAAAAATCCTCGTAAAACGCACACCCAGACCGGGCTAATTTCAACACAAGTTGTGTTAGGTGACTGTTACTCACACTGACGTTTCTCTTTAAAAAATATCTGAGTAAGTCCTACTGCTGTTTCAGCCTTTTAGTTGGTGGTGGCATTGTACTGAAATGAGATATATATAAAAAAAAACATTTTGGCTAGCGTGGCAAACGTCTAGAGAAAGTTAGCAGTTAAATATTGGATGAGTGATCATCCCAAGACTACGGAAGAGGATTAGGGCCACTGGAAAAAAAAAAAGTTAAGTGATTTTTACATTTTATTTCAGTTTAATATGGGAAAAAAGTCAGAATTCTGACTTTTATTTTCAGAATTAAGACTTTTTTTCTCAGAATTTTGGATCTTAATGTAGATGGGCACCATGAAGGCAGAGATGTGGAGCACTCAGCTTCACTGACAAAGATGTGAGTTGTTTGAGGTGGCCAGTGACACATTGGTGGAAAATGACAGAATTAGGCAACTTTTACGTGCCCGTGGGGTCCCCCCATTAATGGAGGAGCAGAAGGTCATTAAAACAAGAGAGCTAGTCTCTAAAAGAGACATGGCTATGGCTTGATGCTAACATGTTTGTTGTTAAACATACTTTTGTTATATTACATTTGTGTTGTGTTTTCCAAATAGTGTAGAAAATTAATGGTGGGTTTATAATGTTTACCTTTTATGAGCAGGACAGGAAGCAGAGAAGTGTAGCATTACCTCCAACTAGTTAAACTCATAATTATGAAGTTATTCAACAAATTCCTCAAGTAAAAAAGTGCAACTTTTTTATTTTTATTTTTTAACAGATTTGTTGATTAATTTCAAAATTATGTATTCCTTCCAAATTTCCAAATCTGAAGAATTTTTTAAACCAATATCTACATTATTTAACATTTAGTTTGTTTTAGCAGTACTTCCCGTTATATTTCTTTATACGTATATTTTACATTTTCTTGCACAGCAAGCTCAGCAGATTTGAAATTGTGTGCTTGTGTAAACACAAGTAGTTAATCTTTACTCTAAACATATATTCTGTTTATTTTTTAGTTAGACTTCTTGTTTTTATATATCTGTATAGTACCCCCCCCCCACCAAAAAAAACCAAACTGTAAATTGATTAGAAATATTAATCATCTGTCAGATTTCTGAGAAAAAAGTCAGAATTCTGAGATTAAAGTCAGAAATCTGAGAAAAAAGTCAGAAGAAAAAAGTCAGAATTCTGAGATTAAAGTCAGAATTCTGAGAAAAGTCAAAATTCTGACTTTTCCCCCCATGTTAAACTAAACAAAAAATTAAAAATCAGTTAACTTTTTTCAGTGGCCCTAATCCTCTTCCTACAAGACTAAGATGACTAAACCAAAAAGATTCAGTTTCTATATATGAAAGTGAACTGACAACAAGACGTTATAAATAGGCAATATTCATAGCAGCATTCCCGACAGACCATTTTACCTCATTAACAAGTTTCTGACTTTCTGTATCGCTGTTTCCCTCCTTTCTGAGTGCTCAAACACTCAACAGTTCACTGAGGGGAGGGGGAGTACAGTGACGTAACGCTATGCTGCGCCTTCAAAATAAAAGCACGATAGTTAAGAAATTGTCAAAATCTAATATTTTGCGGTACAATTTTTGGGGGGGACATATCCACCTGGCTTTTATATTGGGGGGGACATGTCCCCCCCGTCCCCCCCGCTTCCTACGCCGCTGCACTGATCTGATAGAAATTGTAATCTTACTCAGATCAGAGAAGTTGCTTAGAGCTACTGAAGGCAGCTTCTCACCCCTGGGTTCACTTCTCGGGAAGTGGCCACGACTAACAGTTAAAAAGGCATTTTATACATCTCCTATCTGCCACATCATCACATCATTACATCATACATGTTAGCAGATGAGGAGACATCTATGGCTCCAGCCTTATCAAACTATTACACTTTGTTCTCAGCTGAAGGACACCACCCTCATTCCATTCCAGATATTTGCCACGTACAGAATGAAGATTATAAGACTTAGATTTTATTTTGTCATTTTGTATACAAAAATAAATTTCGTTTAGTACAGCTCTCTAGACCTTTTCATTTTTTAAAGTGCAGCCTTGATAAAGGTAAGCAGCAATGATAGAAAGACAGACAAAAAAAAAAAAAAACACAGTGGTGAGAATAATTGATGTAAACATATGACTGTATAGTTACTGTTCCAACATTCAGGTTTTTTTTTTTTTTACCCATTTTATATAACATTTAGCAGTCTAATGGCAGTGGGGAAGAAACTGTTCTGGAATCTGCTGGACCTGAACAGTTTCTTCTCCACTGCCATTAGACTGCTAAATGTTATATAAAATGGGTTAAAAAAATACAGACAGACAAACTGTCTTAATTAGATAAACTATTGTGGAAAACATCAGTTCTGACACGCAACAGGCAGCTAATATTAAGCTATAATAAATTCACACATCATCAACGATAATTATCCTAACAGTACCAACCTTTTCTTAATCCAGGCTTGTGTTATGAGTTTATCTTTATTAAATCATTAAGTTGAAGCATGGGTGAAAAGCGTTTCTTCGTTTTCATAGTTTCTATTTCTTATTACTTTTGTCTGATTTCATTTATTTCTGTGACCATGCAGGGTTTTTCACTACTTAAACAAGGAGTACCAAGAATTTTGTCCACATTTGTATTTCCTGTCTCTCTCCATAATGGATTCTAGATATTCTTTATAGGGTCTAGCCAGTTTGTTGAAACATATTGCTGTATGTGAGATAGACCTGTAACATTTTCACTAATTGAGTTCCTGAAGTGAATTAGGTTTTGGGTGATATTCTAATTTACAGATATGAAAACATTATATACATTATACATTAAGCAACCCCTGAAAAGAGAAGCGCAGCAAATTTCCTTTCCTGCACTGCTGATTGAAATGCTAATTAAAAAAAAAAATTTAATCAGCAAGGTACAGGGCTGAGCACTTTAGGAGAAACTAAATTGGATATAATAGATTGAAGCTGAATTTTAAATCTGTTCAATAATGCATAAAAAAGACCATATTTTTATGATAAGGACAAAGTGCGCTTTTTCGGCAAATTTCTGTGTCGTTTAATTAGGTTATCTGTCCTTTGTGTACAAAAAGATTGAACGGACAGTTTGAAATGACTTCCTCATTTCCCACCTTTATCTGCACAATCATAAATTGAACCTTTATAGTCTTCGCTTTGAATCAATTAATGCTGGGTGAGCACCAAAGTTTAAATGGGTTTTAAATTGATTCTTGTTTTGCACATCTCTTCACCCTCATCTGAACTTCAACTTTTTCCCAACAGTTTTGCCTGAGCTAGAGTCCAGTTTTATAAATAAAAGATGCTTTGGCTGATTAGAACCTAATAAAGTATATAAACAAAGGTAAAATGATTTCAGTGCAGCGAAAGACAGCAATGGTTTAGTACCTCCGATAAGAGCTGAGTCAGTCCTGATGGCATTGACTAAAGGTTGACCTGAGCCCACTGAACCAGACTGGTCTACAGTAGAGAGGGAAAAGTGAAGAGGAAAGTGTCAGCAGGAGACAGGATTTGGAAAGGCAGAAAATTAAAGGAACAAGTCATCAGCAAACTGGAAAAGAAAAATGAAGTGGAAAAAACATTTACTCAGCAGAAAAGAGAAAAAACAACAACTACTGATTCATCCAGTTACCCAGTGATTCAAACTGAACACTTAACATCTCTTTATTACTATTTTTTTCTGTAGAAGATTAAAATAACATTTTAACTTAATGAATGTTGTTATTAGTTTAACAGCTTAGAGAAGTGTTTTTCAACTAACGACCTCAGGGGACACTTAGCTGCAGGTTTCGGATGTTTCTCTGGTCTAACGCGACTGATTCAGAGGAATTCAGTTCAGCATTTTCTGTTAATCAGCTTCCAAAGGAAACAATCTGTGGTAAATCTTGAAAACATCTAAAAGATGCAGGGCAGAGTGTTCTGAGGACCAGGGATGAAAAACAATGGCTAAGGGACACATTTAACTGTGTAAGTGATTTGTTTCCTGTTGAATTGACAGCTACTACCTCTATGACAGAACCTGCTTCACATAGAGTACCCTAACTGTTTGACCTTTTTTTATAAATAACTGAATTACAACAAAATTGGTGTAGATTGTATTAATAGGTGTGGGAAAAAATGTAAAATCTGTATATCAGATCTCAAATAAAACAGATATTGGTAATTCCCTGTAAAAGCCTGCTTGTTTATCTTCAGGCAGTTACAAGCTGATCAAACAGATTTCTACATTATTTTATATATGCAATCTATAAAGCTTTGTGATCTAGATTGCAGGCATTCCAACACTTCCTAAATTAGGCTTTGTGAATACTTTCTTATATGACAGACATAAACTGCTAATAGTAAATAAAGGACATTAATGGCCATTTCTCCTCTGGTGTTATTATGTGGACCAAGTTACAAGGAGCAGAAAGAAACCATAAGCAGGAAAAAAGAAATCTAGGAATGGAGGATAAGGTAAAAAAAAAAAAAAGATTCTTAATATATTTATGTCAGGCTATAAGGAATACAGGGAAACATTGGGGTTTTCAATAAGCCCTTTTCTGGATGTCTGTCTAAAAACCTCTGGCTAAATTTGGTACCTTTTTTGACCCTAATAACATAAATCAAATTTCAGCAAAAAAAAAAAAAATTCAGTTAAATGTGTTCAATAAAATCCATCCCATACCCAATATATGGTGAATGTTTTCAGCAGCGTAGGGATTGGCTGAAGCTGCAGAGCCGCAGTTGGACTGAACCAAAGGTCCAGTGATGTGGATAGGGCTGGTGTCCGGGTGGAGAAGGGCAGCCTTCAGAGGACTGACCGAGTTAAACTGAACTACTGACAGGCAGCCAGTAAAACCCAGAGAGGCCAGCCTAGCCAGCTGGGGATCCAAGTCATCAGACTCTGGGGAAGAAAAAACAACAAAACAAAACAAAAAAAAATAGTATATTTTTAATTAAACAAGTCAAATATCCATACCTTATTTTTCAAAACGTAAATTTTAATAGTCTTTAAATAACATTTGTTCTTGAATTAGATTTTATAAAGTTTTTCTGTGGATGTGGAAGACACTTGCACAAAATTATCACAATCTAAATATTTTAGTAAAGCAACGCCTACCATACAAACACAGAAGAAAAAAAAAAAGAAAAAAAAAAGGGAGCAAGGTATACACTATATTGCCAAAAGTATTTGCTCACCCATCCAAATTATTGGAATCAGGTGTTCCAATCACTTCCATGGCCACAGGTGTATAAATTCAAGCACCTAGGCATGCAGACTGTTTTTACAAACATTTGTGAAAGAATGGGTCGCTCTCAGGAGCTCAGTGAATTCCAGCGTGGAACTGTGATAGGATGCCACCTGTGCAACAAATCCAGTCGTGAAATTTCCTCGCTCCTAAATATTCCACAGTCAACTGTCAGCTGTATTATAAGAAAATGGAAGTGTTTGGGAACGACAGCAACTCAGCCACGAAGTGGTAGGCCACGTAAACTGACGGAGCGGGGTCAGCGGATGCTGACGCGCATAGTGCGAAGAGGTCGCCAACTTTCTGCAGAGTCAATCACTACAGACCTCCAAACTTCATGTGGCCTTCAGATTAGCTATAGAACAGTGCGCAGAGAGCTTCATGGAATGGGTTTCCATGGTCGAGCAGCTGCATCCAAGCCATACATCACCAAGTGCAATGCAAAGCGTCGGATGCGGTGGTGTAAAGCACGCCGCCACTGGACTCTAGAGCAGTGGAGACGCGTTCTCTGGAGTGACGAATCGCGCTTCTCCATCTGGCAATCTGATGGACGGGTCTGGGTTTGGCGGTTGCCAGGAGAACGGTACTTGTCTGACTGCATTGTGCCAAGTGTAAAGTTTGGTGGAGGGGGGATTATGGTGTGGGGTTGTTTTTCAGGAGCTGGGCTTGGCCCCTTAGTTCCAGTGAAAGGAACTCTGAATGCTTCAGCATACCAAGACATTTTGGACAATTCCATGCTCCCAACTTTGTGGGAACAGTTTGGAGCTGGCCCCTTCCTCTTCCAACATGACTGTGCACCAGTGCACAAAGCAAGGTCCATAAAGACATGGATGACAGAGTCTGGTGTGGATGAACTTGACTGGCCTGCACAGAGTCCTGACCTCAACCCGATAGAACACCTTTGGGATGAATTAGAGCGGAGACTGAGAGCCAGGCCTTCTCGTCCAACATCAGTGTGCGACCTCACAAATGCGCTTCTGGAAGAATGGTCAAAAATTCCCATAAACACACTCCTAAACCTTGTGGACAGCCTTCCCAGAAGAGTTGAAGCTGTTCTAGCTGCAAAGGGTGGACCGACGTCATATTGAACCCTATGGATTAGGAACGGGATGTCACTTAAGCTCATATGTGAGTCAAGGCAGGTGAGCAAATACTTTTGGCAATATAGTGTACATGCACAAATAATATCACAGATTTGGCACGAATACTGGATGAGAACAGACGAATCTGTTAAGAATCTGGAAAGGAAAAAAAATAAAGCTGAGCAGGATTACTGAGACCAGGGGTCCATTTCATAAAACAAGTTTAACAAACTAAACTCAGACTCTAATCCTGAACTCTGAAATGATCCAGCTTGAGGTTGAAAACTCAATTTTTTTTGGTTTCACAGTATCTGCTTTGAGTTAGTTTAATCAACTCTAAGTAGGTCCACTCAGAGTTGAGCACATGTGTAACAAGTATGAAAAGCCATTAATCAGTAGAGCAATGATTCAACAAGTCACCATGACAACAGGAAGCACATATTTCACATCACTGGAATGGGCTGTATGCACAACTTCACAGCTTCCTGAACTTAAGGCAGCTGTTTCTGTTTCATGTCCTTTTCTACATGAAAATTTCATAAAAATATTTATTTCAGATTTTAACAATACCTATTCAGACAGACTAATAAATATCTAAACAGCCTGCTATATTCTGCTTTAATTACAGTAAGATAACGGGTGAAGTTAGTTTACTGGTTGAATGGTAATGGATCAATGTATTCTATTTAGGTGAAATCACCTGTCAGCAGGAGAAGAAGTATAAAAAACATTCCAACAGGAAGGACCTGTGCATCATCTCATGGAGTTCCTCCTCATTTTGATTCTATCTTCCTTTAGAAAGTAATACTTAGTGGCTGTTTGTGTTTTTTTTCTGTTATCACACACAATCCATCAATATTCTCTCATTGATATAGAGTTTAGCTAAATACCCTTTAATACGTATTTGTAATGCTGCAAATGGGAAGACATGGTTGTGGATGTAAGTGATGGATTGGGAGGTAAAATGATAGCATTCATAAAGATAACTTTCTGAATCTATACATGGTCAGAGAACCCTCTCTATTTAATTCTCCGCAAATGAATACCAATCATTTCGTAATTTGATTCTCGTCAAAAGGATGTGCTATGTTTTTGTTTTAAAGACATAACACTATGATTTTCTTTTAATTGTTTGCACTAAACTACAACAGAACTCTCCTGATTAAATCAGGAAATAAAACAACATGATTGGCTTTAAGGAGAGTGGAGACAGAGGACACTGAGTTTACTGAAGAAAACCTGCTCTAAACCAGTTAGCTCTGGGGAGAATGTTACTATGGCAACAGAAACAGAGGTTGAGTAAAATCTCTTTATGACCTGGAAAACTGAGTTTCCCTGATTTCAGGTTTAGAAAACTTGAGACATAAAAGCCTGCTTTGTGAAACAAGCCTCTGGGTCATGCCTGGGTCCATGCCGAGAAAGAGGCTCCTAAAGTGGAGTCTATGAGACACTATGGTTTTCACAAAAACTGAGGGGGACGATTACTGAGACCAGAGGCCTCAGTGATGTAATCCCTGAGGCACTGCTGTATATGGGGAGCCAAAATCTATAATTACTTATCTAATATAGAATTCAATTAGAAAAATATACCAATTGTTAAGTGTCCCATTAGATAATAATAAAACATTTCCTGTACAATGATGAATCACATTTTTACATGTAATTCTGAAAAACACATACATGTATAATCATAATAGAGTTAAATAATTCTAAACATTTTTAGGGGTCTTTTCATTTTTGATTTAGAGGCTGAAATGTATGAGAACTGCTGAACCAAGGAGCTGAGAGGAAAATGACTGAGGAACCAAACCAGAACGTTAGAAAACCCAAAACATGAGAACACAGAACCACCTATGGAGTAAAAGCGTTGTGAAATGTTTGGTCATAATGTTTCCTTCACTTAGTTTTTAAGGTTAAATGAATGAACTACCAAAATTATGTCTTGAAATTCATTAAAGGAATAGTACACCCAAAACATGATTAGCCTTCATTTTCTACTCACCCCCATGCTGAACAACACTCTGGAGTACTTTTTTGATATCTCAAATGCATCTGGAGATCTGGGAGGCTTCTTGCTGTCTGCTGACATTCAAATAATGGAGGTCTATGGTGACCGAGACAGAAAGGTCCATAAAAGTCCACAAAAACGTGTCAATATTCCTCCATACTGCTCGTCCAATGTATTCCAAGTGTCCTGAGTGGGTAGCATCCAGAATTTACTCAAAACGAAGTCATTTAGAATGTTTTTAGAGCATAAACAGTAGTGTATAGGATTTCCTGAAAGCGCGCACACGCGCGCTCACGACGCTACGGAAGCCGGCAGACCAAACCAGCGCATTCAGCTCGGCAAAGAACTCATGCTCTTCCTCAACACTGAAGTCCTCAGACATTTTTCTTTCGTTGTTTCTTTCTTTGCACAGGTAAACAGCACATTTCTTCTTCTACGCTTGCATTATCGGCAGAGCAGGCGCTGAATGCGCACTTTCATCTGGTTTGGTCTGCCGGCTTCCGTAGCGTCGTTATGGACCTTTCTGTCTCGGGCACCATAGACCTCCATTATTTGAATGTCAGCAGACAGCAAGAAGCCTCCCAGATCTCCAGATGCATTTGAGATATCAAAAAAGTACTCCAGAGTGTTGTTCAGCATGGGGGTGAGTAGAAAATGAAGGCTAATCATGTTTTGGGTGTACTATTCCTTTAAATAGTTCTAAAAATTTTTAGGGGTCTCGTCATTTTTGATTTTTAGGCTGAAATGTATTAGAACTGCTGAACCAAGGAGCTGCGGGGAAAATGACTGAGGAACCAAACCAGAACATTAGAAAACCCAAAACATGGGAACATATAACCACCTATGGAGGAAAAGTGAAACGTTTGGTGACAATGTTTCTTTCACTTAGTTTTTAAGGTTAAATGAATGAACTACCAAAATTATGTCTTCAAATTCGTTAAGGTACCATCCTTTTCCAATGAACATTAGAATTCCTCAACTCAGATTTTATTATTTTAAAGCCACTGGCTCTTGTTGATGTAAAAAAAATATATTTTTTTTTCTCCGTGGGTTTTGTTCCTTTTAATTTAAAGGTCACATGTTGAACATGGTAAAATACTGATGAACCACCTTACAGTAACATGAACATTTTTCATCTGTGTGCCAAATCTAGACTAGAAAAAGTTGCATTTCCTGCGAAAATGCAGTGTGAATGCTGTACGCTAAACTGTAAGCTGTAAGGTTTAAATGGCAGAAACAAGCTGAAATTTAAAGTCAAAGCTGCTGAAATGGTATGGAATAGCAAAAAATGTCTAATTAGTTTCTTAAAAGTAGCTGAAGCCAACAGCAGAAACATGGCAGACATGGTATGAATTAACAGCAAGCAGAAAAGCTTAATGCCTTTCCAGAAAGAGAGCAGAATCAAGCCAAAATTGGAAAAAATATGCAGAAATTTTTTAAAATAGCAAAAACGGTAACATAAACAGTAAAAAAGTTGAATCTTAACTAGTTGAAGAAAAAAATGAGTAGCTTAAGGATAGGAAGATAAATGTTGAATATGTATAATAAGTAATAAAGTC